TTAAATTTCTTCATGAGTGATATAACTGCGTCTCCCGGTAACCATCTTTACATATGTATTGACTACTTTCTGTTGACTTGGATTTTAAACTTACTGATCATATGATTTACTTTTTATTAGTTGGTATATTTTGTCTATATTAACGTGTTTGTTAATCGCATATTCGTTTGAGTACCAGTCTTCTAGGAATTCCCTGACTGCACTTTTGATGTTTCCTCTGTCTAAGATTTCGACATTATCCCAATCAAATTGATGTCCATAATTGTCTACATGTATTGATTTGAAAGAATATATATCGTGTCTTTTCACGGCTGATTTGTGTTCTTGGATTCTAATTCGAAGGGGACGCCCACTTTGGCCGATGTAATGCTTGTTGCAGTTCACATAATTTATTTTGTAACTGGTATTAATTTTACCTCCTTCTTCTGTTGGATCTTTCGGTTTGCATAATATCGAATTAAGTGATTTGACTGGCTTGTGTGCCATATCTATATCAAACGGTTTCAGTATTCTAGCTGTTATTTCAGAGATATTTTTTATATATGGTAGAATGAATTTTCTTGTGTTCTTTGTTGATGGTTCCTTGTTGGTGTTTTGATTCGACTTTAAACACTTTTTGATGAAAATTTGGGGAAAACCATTCTTTTTAAGACCGTTTGTAGGTATTTTGCTTCCATTCTTTTCAAATCTGAAGTGCTACAATGTGTATGAACTCTTTTGAACAATGTCTGCACACAGTTTCGTTTGTGAGTAATTGGGTTATTGCTAGTATAGTTGAGTATTTGATCTGTGTGCGTTGATTTTCTATATACTTGTGTTTCTAAATCTCCTGTGTTGGTTCTCCTGATTAAGACATCTGAAAATGGGATTTTGTTATCTAATTATTCTTCTCTCGTGAATTTGATGTCTTCAAATATGTTGTTTATAAATTTATGGGTATATTATAAATCATTTCTCTTCATTATTAAAAATGTATCATCAATGTAACGTACCCATGAAGAAATTTAAATCACTTCACTTTATGCTAAATATTGCGCTGAAGATGTTGTCC